AGTCTAATGTAACATGTGCAAAAACAAACGCACGACATCTAAAAAAAAAAAAAAAAAAAAAAAAAAAATAATTTCTGTCGTTTTAAAAATAAAAAAATTTTTTTTTTTTCTCCAACAAAGGAGGGGGGGAAGAAAAAATGAGGGTGGGGGGGGGTTGGGGGGGGGGGGGGGGGGGGGGGGTTACCGCCCTTCTTGATTTGCATAATTCTTCAGAATATAAGATAGCCGAATGCAGTAATTCCTGATTAATCATATGTTATTCTTTTCTCGATAGCACGTCAAAAGGGTAACATAGCTCTAGTAGAAAGGAGTGAAGTGATCAACAAGGTGTCAGGAAAAGTGTGTTCATCGTGGAAAAGACTTGCGAGAGACCTCGAGCTCAGAGCTGGACAAATTGACAACATATCAGAGGAGGAACAAGATGACGAGGAACGCTGCCGTAAAACTTTGTGAACATGGTGTCAGCTTAACGGAAGGAATAGCACTATTAGAAAACTCATGATCTCACTGACAAAAATAGGAAAGGCAGAAGTGAACTATGACGTCATGAGATGTTTGCATCTTGTGGGTCCTGATTAATTGGCCATGAGGCTCCCGTTTGAGTCCGCTTTAAGATACTAGGTCACGGTATTGTCAATGGCGACCTATAGATTGTAAGACAAGGCCAACTTCGAGTACGAGGTTGTCTCAATACTAAGTAGTGCAGGCGCGTGAATCAGCGTCATTTTGGCAGGTAAACGTGTTAGCCGTCATTTTTCTACTACGAGTTTCTGCGAGAATATCATAGTGACGGAAACACAAGTCATGAAATGTTAGAAGTTTAATCAATTGAACCGTGTTAACTTCTCTGGTGAAAAATGACGTCATGGCAGCCATGTCTGGGAACGAAACTCCATTTTTATTTAACTTCTCTGAAATAATTTTTATTTACCATTTTCACATGGACCATGACGCACCTCGCTTACCTCCCCAAATTTTTCATAACTGTTGTCTTGGATTTCTCTTGGGACGACTGTAATACCCAGGAGAAATTGGGAACAATGGTTATGTAAAATTTTGGGGGATAAACTAGGTGCATTGTGATCTATGTGAATATGGTGAATTGCATTGACCACCAACATGGGCGCCATGTCACGCGGATGTAAACCAAGAATACACATGAATATACAATGAGATTTGGTAGGGTGAAAGTATTCGCCGTTCAGTACTGTAGGCAGATGTATATTCACATGCATTGCTGGCCTGCATGCATCGTAGGTAGTACACACTTTTTGCCTAGGGGATGGGAGGGTGGGTCGCTCGCCATACTCGCGAGATGTAAGATGATAAAAACTGTAAGATATATGCTGTTGCGAAAATATTTTTCTTTTATTTTCGGTACTTACAATAGAACTTGAGATCAGTGAATCAGTATCTTTATTAATAAATTCCGTCCTTGATCTCAAAAAAACTGAATTCATTACGCGAATGCAAACTTCAGTGTCGCCCCTTTTCCGCAGTATCTAAAATAATACTGTAACTCTACCAGGGGAGTTTGCGTTGCCCACGAAGAATGTAAGTGAAACCACGACTACATCTTTCTTTTCGGTTTATTAGGTGACTTTGATTAGGATGTAGTTGACTCTCTGTAAAATTCTCCATTTCTAGTTCAACTCTTTTGAATTGGGTGTCCTGTGGTAATGCTGGTTTCCATTTCCGTCTCTGTAATGAATCGCACTGATCCAACAATGTATGTGGGTCAGGCTTAAAAAGTGAAAAATTTTAGCCGTTCGTTTTGGAGGTTAGGACTTTCCAACGCAATGAAACAAACAAGAAAAACAAAACGAAGACGTCCTTTTCTTATTGATGCACATAGTATTTGCGCCAGAATTTCTGCCAGCTTTTGATTTCTATCATTAGCTAGCCAATACAGTACTTCGAATTCTATCCAACAGTTGGGTTATTACATAGTTATTAGAGGAGACTGGTTATGAAAAGCGGCAAACGTATATCAATGATAAGAACAACAGTGCTGCAGTTTATGTTGGAAGTACCGTGAAAGTGCTCAATCCTTTGTTTTCTGTTGGCAAATTGTTACGGAATAAATTAATGCAACGTTTTTATTGGTCAATACAATCAAAATGATAGGAATTGTTTTGAACGTTGTGCACTTTCAGGTCCACAAAAACATATAACAAAGGAGTCTGACGGGTTTCATAACCATTCCACTCAATTAACTATGGTTATTATTACCCTCCACCTTCTCTCCCCCACC